GTCGATGGGATTTGAACACCCAACCTACCACTTGGGGGGTTGACAACCTGACCACTTCACTAGATCGCCACACCCCTAAAAAAAAAAAAAAAAAAATTTTTTTAAAAACCTATTTACATAGGTTGTATGATAAGTTTTGTCGCAGTACAAATATTTCAATTTTTTATTAATTTGAATGAAATAAAAATTACATCATTCTTTCAAAATACTTTCCACCAACTTCTATGCAATGTTTGAGCTGATTTTGTCAATCCTGAAAACATTTTTCATATTCACTATTTGGAATAGAATTTATAATTGAATTTACAGCACATGCAAGATTTTCAATTTGTTCAAAATGCCGACCAGCCAATTCTTTTTTTAATTTTGGAAATAAAAAAAAATCACATGATGCTAAGTCTGGACTATAAGGTGGATGGGACAGCAAAATTACATGTTCTTGTCTCAAATAATCAGTAACAACATTAGACTTATGTAGGAAAGCATTGTTATGATGTAGTATGACATTTCTTATGCTTTGCCTTCCTCTTTTTTTTCTAAAATTATTAAAAACTTCAGATAATACATTATTAGCATAGAACTTAAAGTTAACAGTAGAACCTTTTTTTATGACCTTACAAGCCACAGTGCCATCTACTAAAAAAAAAACACAAAATATATATTTTTTGCTGAACCTGGCTGTCTGAACCACTTGTGGTCAGTTTTCTCCTTTTTTGACCCATTATTTGTTACTTTTTTTACTAGAAATGGTAAAAAAATGAATCCAGATTTCATCACCTATAATTACATTCTTGCATCCATTTTTAACAATTTCAGAAGCTTTCGAGAAACCTCAACATGTTTTTTTTTGTTTTTTTCAATTAAGATATGTGGTATTTATTTTGCATACATTTTGCGCATACCTAGCTCTTTAGTAAGAATATGGTTAATTCGTTCTTGGGAGATACCCACAAGGTTAACTAATTCTCTAATAGTTGCGTGAGGGTCTTCAATTACCATTTCCTTGATTTTAGCAATGGTTTGGAAAGTGGTTGCTTGGCGGTAAGGTCCGAAACAAAGCTTGTCTTCAATGGATTCATTTTCATTATTAAATGCTGAAACCCAGTGTTCAATTGTACATTTGGATAAAGCATAGCTTCCTTAAGCAGCACCCAACTCAGCATGGATCTCAGATATGCTTATACCGTTCTTCTAGCGAACATAGATATAGTAATGCTGGTGTTGATGACTCATTTTCTCTCAATTGTTTTTGAAAGAAATTTTGATTTTTTTTTTATACAGATTTTTATATTAATGCAGATCTTTTTTTTTTATAGGTTAATCATATTACGTAACACATACATTACATAATTTTTTTTTTTGGATAAGCTTTGATCATTACGCAGATACAACTCTTGTGACAAAACTAATCATTCAACCCACGTAGTTATTAAAATATTAAAAAAAATTTTTACAAACTTTTAAAATTTAATCTAATTAGATTATGAAAACCAATTAATTAATTTTGTATAACATTATTTTAAATAAATCAAAATTTTTGACTTAATAAACAATAAAAAATTAAACTTTAGATCAAGATTTTTGAATTACTTAAAATTAAAACTTGTAACTTAAAGGATGATGATCTTAGTATAGTGGTTAGATTATCATTCTTCAAGCAGTAAGTCCAATGTTCAATTCCTATTAGTAACAGAATTTGAAAAATAATCTTATTTTAGCAAACTTATTCATAATTTAAGATTTGTAGATCTTGTAATTCTAATTATATCAAGACTAATTTTAGAAATGTACAATGTTATATAAATAAATCTAGAAAGTATATACTCAGATTAGAAGTTTGCTTGGAAATTCTAAGCAAAAAAATAGTACAATTTTTGACAATATTATCTATAAAAATCTTGATCTAAAGAAGAAAATCTAAGACAAATAACCTGTATAAACAAGAAGCTCTAAGTAGAAGGTCTACCAATCTGACCACTGGTTGATCTGAACATGAAATCACATCATGCAACTTTAACTAGATTGGTAGTATAAAAAGACTTATAAGATTAGACAAGGTATCAATAAGGTTGTAAAAGAAGGATACTAGAGTTGTATAAACTTCATAAAAATTGTAAATTAGGTTTAACTATAAATTAAGATACAGAAGACTCTAGTAATGATGTCTTGAAGATAATCTACATGAAATAAAACAAGGATCCTAAGGATATGAATAGACATATAAAACTTCTCAACTAACATCATGTAATGAAAATGTTCTAATAATACAGTAAAAATTATAGTACAGAAGGTTTAAATAAGCAACACCTGTAATTGAATTGCAGGTATAACAACTAGTGTAAAACCTATATATAGGCGGACTACTTAAATTAAACACCAAAAGTGTACATGTGACTAGATGTACTCTCTAATGTAAGATAGCTCCTCTAAGGTAATCGGACCATGAGCTACCATGTCCTACTATACTGAATAAAAAAGCCCTAGTCCCCAAAAGACTAGTTTAACTGTAAAAAAAAAAACAAAACTTGTAACTTATTTAAAATTTAAAATATATTTCATATTTATTTTCTTGAAAAACTTAAAAAAAAGAATTTTTTTTTGCAAATTTTATATATAAAATTGTAATACATCATCTCATTTGATCTATAATTAATTTTGAGCCATTTTAAAGGGACATGTCCTATGACTGATAATAATATGTTAAAATTTTATGTTTTCCGTGTAATAATAACAGATTTTTAGAGGTTACATATTCAGCCGTTTTGACACGAGTAGTAAATTCTTGACCCGGTTGAACCGTTTTTGACACGGATAACCCGATTTACTATAACCCGGCTCTAAACTCTAGTACCTTCTTTTTCGATCATAATTCTCTGATCTTTTGTCGTCATAACTACCACGGCGATCGTAGTCCCTTTCTGCCCTACGTTCACGGCTTGGAGTTCTGTATCTTCTGTGTCGTTGATGTTCACGATCATAATCTCTGAGTCTATCACGTTCTCGACGATCATAATCATGATCACGGTACCGTCTTGTTTTTGAGGAACCTCTATCAGGACTACGACTGCGAGTACGAGTACGGCTACGATACTCCCTTCCTTCGTCGCTGCGTCTCATAGAATGTTCTAACGATACTCTAGGATCTAGATCATATGATGGAGATTCTCTCCTTAATTAAGAGAAGCAGTTAAGATATTTACATTAGCAATGAATTGGTTTGATATTTTATATGTATTCGAAAAAACGTTCTCTTTCGTTTTCTACCTCATTCCCCAGAAATCAACGATTTTAAATCCAGTCGCTTTTATATGCATATATGGGTTATAAAGCCAAAAGGCGCAACCTAAACACAAAAACAATTCAAGCATTGACCAGAAGTACTAAATTCAATGCCTACCTTGGCAAAGTGGGAGGTTGTAACCTTTCCTTGAGTTTTTGTTCGATATCACGAGCAATAGGTACAGGAATACGAGGTAAAATGGTACCAAGCCATTTTTGATCAGTTAACAATTGGCGGCACATTTTACCAATAGTTCTGATTTTCAAAAACATGTTATTAGAAACATATGCCTTTAGGACCCAACTGTAAGAAATAATCACCACACAACCATGAACAGACTCACGATGAATAGTCGGAGTATACGAATATACTTCATAGAACATACATACATTGAGACCGGCCGTGGACCACCTTGGATTTGTACTTGTTCTTCATCCTCCAAGTATTCTTCAAACCATTCCCATAAGCTTGCTGGCTTGCAAACATAACGAAGATATAAAAATCCTAAAGCTCTAATGTGTCTATTTGAATTTTATGATTTTAAAACAATTATTAGTTTAAGGTCAAGGAAAAAAAAAGAAAAAAAGATTAAAAATTTAAAATGCGCATATACATACGGAGAATCAGTATGCTCAATCAAACCAGTCACCTGCTTGACAGTTAATCGAAGAGTCCAAAGTTTATATAGCAAGCAAAATGCTGTCGATGCTGTCGTCCCTTTAAGGAAAGGCTCTATAACAAACAAAAGTAGTGTAGGAGCTTTTACACGTAAATAAACTAGAACAGATGCATATTTAAAATTTTGGTTTACCAAGTGACTCAACTAATATCGAAAGCAAAGAAAAACGAATACGTTAATGTTGCAGACCAAATATGGAAAGCAAAGATAAATAAGGTTCTTACCGTGGTTATATATTTCATCAATCACTTCGTGATACGTTTTCAACTCACTATGTATAGTCATAAAGAACTTAGGATCAGACGCTGGAAGATAAACTTTTTAAAACTATCCAGCTGAGACGACATACTCACTATAATTGCTTGAAATAAGGTGAGGCTTGAATATTCTGATAAAGAATATTATTTAAGTTCATTGTAGTTTCGTTGCCCCAGGTTTCCAACTTGTTTGACTGCTTCATTTTTACTCAACGCTCTCTCGCTATATATTTAACGCTTTTGATAACTTCTTGATATAACGAAGTGTATATAAATAGTTGCAGCGATCGTCGTATTTAAAAAAAAATAATCACGTGGGTAATCGAATTAATAATAACATTAAGAATGAAATGTGTGTGCTAGGTTTCGATTAACCTTTGGTTAGATTATATATAGGGATCACATAAATTGAACATAACGTCATGGTTGGCTAATTTGCAGATCATGTGCAAACTGGCCAATCAAAATTTATAAACTCATGTGGAAGGAATTTTTGTGGGAGAGCTGCAAAACATACATTTTTGATACTCCTACACCTACCCAATAATATCACATGTTATTATAGCAAAAGTTAGGGTGTATCAAAAAAGTAGGTGCAGAAGCATCAAAAATGAATGTTTTGCGGGAGAGCTACTATAATTTCTAAAATCAAAAAAAAAAAAAACGGTAATTTATCGTTATAATTAATTAATGACGATAACCTTATCTAGATTTTTTATTTCGACTCAATTTAATCGCAATTTTTTTTAATTATGACGAGCACTTCAAGAGATTTGAGTTTGAGGGATCAACAAATTGGTAAGCTTCACTCTAATATAATTAGTCTCATCGCATAGAACCGTTAAAAGTGTTCTTATTATATTGCTTTTATGAATATGAACAGATGCCATAATCACAATGCTTAATCTTAATGTCAAACCAGAACCAATATTTCCGAACGCATCTTTAGACAATCTCTTGGTGCCGACGACTAACCCTGATCCCGTATGGAAAGTTCTAATTTTTGATGAATTTGGCCGTGACATCATTTCTTCTGTTCTAAAAGTTGTTGATCTTAGGGATAATGGCGTGACAGTTCATATGTACATCATTCTAAACAATTAAGATCTAATACTGCCTAATTTAATTTGCTAATTTAATTTATTCGGTATTTTTAGGTTATTGAGAAGTGAAAGACATCCTATTGCTGATGTTCCCGCTATTTATTTTGTAGAGCCAACTTCTGAAAACATTCAGAGGATCAGTGAGGTAAATTTGTTCGTTAAACTATTCCCAATTCTGTGTATCACTCATTCTGCTTATTCTTATCATTCTTAAATACGTAGGATTTGGCTAAGAACCTTTACGAATCGTATTATATTAATTTTTTGACTACTATTACAAGGCCATTACTAGAAGAATTGGCTGCTGCTACGATACCAAATAATACTTCAAATTTGATCTCTCAGGTCTATGATCAATATTTGAATTTTATCGTTTCGGAGCCCAATCTCTTTTCACTCAATCAACCCAATATTTATTATTCACTAAATGATCCTACTGCTGCTGAAACTGCTATTGAGAATGCCATAGATCGCACAGTTAGTTCCTTATTTTCGGTATTAGTGACTATGGGCGTTATACCAATCATTCGTTGTCCTCGAGGAAATGCTGCTGAAATGATTGCACAAAAGCTTGATAGTCGATTACGTGATCATATATTAAATTCTCGAAATAATTTATTTTCTGAAAGTTCCGCTTCTTTAAACTTTCAGAGGCCCGTATTATTAATTCTAGATAGGAATATTGATCTAGTTCCAATGTTAAGTCATTCTTGGACTTATCAAGCCTTGATTCATGATGTATTAGATATGCATTTAAATAGAATCGTAGTAGAAACTGAAGAAATTGGTCATGTCATCAAAAAAAGTTATGACTTAGATAGTAAAGACTTTTTTTGGGCTAAAAATGCTTCAAGTCCATTTCCTCAAGTAGCTGAAGATATTGATGTGGAACTCAATCGTTACAAATTCGATGCTGCTGAGATAACGAGACTTAGTGGGGTAAATTCACTAGATGATGTTGATCAAGTAGATTTCTCCCAAAATACTCAACATTTGAAATCGGCTATTACTGCACTACCAGAACTTACTGCTCGAAAGCAAACCCTTGATATGCATATGAACATCGCTACGTCTCTTTTACGGGGAATTAAAGAACGTCAATTAGATACATTTTTTCAAATGGAAGAGTCTATCACACGGCAAAGTAAAACTACTGTTTTAGAGGCTATCCGAGATCCTGAAAAAAAATCTCCAGAAGATAAGCTGCGATTTTTTATTATTTACTATTTGTCTGTTGACGAAGTTACAAAAGAAGATATGGTTGAATATGAAGCTGCTTTACGCGCTGCTAAATGCGATTTATCCGCATTGAACTATGTCAAAAAGTCAGCAAATTTTTAGTTTCTTATCGTGCGTTTTGTCTATTAATTTTAACAATTTGTCATTTGGAATATTAAAGATAAATGTTAATCATTTCTGTAATTTTTCACTTATATGCAGAGTACGTGAAATTACCAGGATGACTATGATGTCAGCACCGGTTTCTCAAAGTTCTGGATTTGGTCAGTCAAGTCAACTCTTTCAAGGTTTCAGTTCCATAGGCAATAAGGTTATAAATTTTTATTTTTTCATACCAGAAAGTATTTGAAATGTTAAATGTGAGATTAATTGCGTAGTTAATATCGGTTTTGTAGTTGACAGATCGTTTGAAAGAAGGTGGTCTTGGTGGTGGCTTTGAAAATTTAATTTCTGGTGTGAAAAATTTACTTCCGACACGCAAAGATTTGACTCTGACGAAAATAGTAGAATCAATAATGGAACCAACCTCCAGTGCTGCAAACGAAACAGATGATTATCTTTATTTTGATCCAAAGATGACACGAAGTTCTAATGTTAATAAGCAATCTAGGAATAGAATTGCTTTTCAAGAAGGAATTGTATTTGTTGTTGGCGGTGGAAATTACATTGAATACCAGAATTTGCAAGAATATGCACAGGTAATGAATTTTCTTTATACATATATATATAATTATATATATCTTATTTTAATTCATTTTTAGCGCCAAGCTGTCAAAAAGAAAATCATCTATGGTTCTACGCAGTTATTAAATCCTCATACATTTTTACAAGAACTGGCAAAGCTTGGTTGATTATAATAGAGGCACCCTTACTTAGAGCAAATAACCTGCCTAACATTTTAATCAGTTGCTAATTACAAATTTTTTAATTCGTGAAATTTTTTTTTAATTATAAGTTTTTTTGGATAAAATTTTTGTTAAATTTTATTATAAATATGTCTAAAAAGTTATCATTTTTTTAATTACGATATCATTATTAAATGCCTTGAATAATGCTAAAATTCGATTTTTACAAGACAATCCTCAAAGCACCAGGTCGGATTGATTAGAGTTGGGCCGGCATTAAGCAATACCGTCTGTCTATCGCTATGTCTATAGCAAAATTAGTAGCTGGCCATTTATCATTTAATGTCACGGATTATCGTGAAATTTGGATCTATTTTATATACGATTTTTAAAAATTTTTAGGGCCTTTTTTGTCAGCTTTTTTTTTATAGTTAAGTTGGGATTTAGGGTTGGAGTTTTATTAATGGAAGAGTATAGGTGGATCGGGTAGGGCTTATATTTTCAAATCGAGACCCCCAAATATCACTTTCACGATAATCCGCGACATTTAATAGGCTATGATTTTATTAGTTAACTTCCGAGATACATGCGCAAAAGTCTATATTACACAGACCTAACAGTGATGATCAAATTTTAGGCCAAAAACTATTTCAAATTTTACTAATGGAACCTCGACAACATTAAATGGGTTAATTTTACCATTAGACGGATTTTTTACTGAAGGGCCTTCAAGTTTCCGAGTCTGATATCGGATTTAGGCCATCTAGGTAGCTTTGCTTAATGGGTTTTCCGTAGGGTTTGGAGCCGTGAAAAATTGTGCTAACTGTAAGCTACATAATTGTTTAACCGTTTATTAATCGTTTAACTAATAATTTAAGGGTAGTGTGTACTATTTTAAAATTATATACTAGGAAAACAGGTGCTGTTAGTGTTCGAAGCATTTAATTTTACGGGATTTTCCATTTTGTCGGGCTGATCCGTGTCGATCTGTTATATTGGTTTAAACTCTGATTGGATATATATCACGTGAGCGGAACCCAAGACATTTTTTGGTACTTGCTTATCTATAGAAAGTCTTTCGCTACGCTCCGGACAATAAACTTAATGGAATTTTTTTTTATATTTAATTTTATAAAAATTATATTAAGTAAACTAATTTGAATTATTAAGTAAAAGTTGTAGAGTAGGTCTTTCTGATTCTAATAATAGTAAAATTGTTAAATTTGGTTAAAAACTTATTAAGATATAAATTTTTAAATATTAGAATATAAAATTATAATAAAATTAACTTATAGATTTATGTAAATTAACTAATTAAATTCTTTAATTTTGTATTATCTAAAAAAATTTTAATCAATTTAAGAAAACTTTATTATATATAAAAGTATATTTTTTAAAAAAAAATTAGTTTTAAAATGTAACATTTTTATTCAAGTTTATAGGACATAGGTTGCCTTTAAGGCTTTTTTACATTGAAGGTTACAACTAGTTACATATGCACTTTTGGTGTCTAATTTAAGTAGTTTGCTTATACATTGTTATATAAGTTCTATACTAGATAAATGCATAACATTTTATATCTAGAACAAGTATTAAATTACAAATTATATTATATTTATTATACTATATATATGTGTTATAATTTGATTAGATAATAGTCATATTATGTGGTTGAACAAACAAATCATATATATTATTCTTTACAGAATAATATGTTTTTTATTATGTTCTAAATAAACTAAATGTCATATCTGCAAGTTAGCTAAGAATCTTGTTTATTTAAATCCTTTGCATATGCAATCTATTTTGTATTATAGAAACATTTTCAGACTATTGCATATTTAAGTTTTCAATATTTATCTGTATTCTTAAAACTACTTTATCTTTAATAAGAGACTTACTAAAACCTGTCATGTCTTATATACAGCTGTTCTAGTTTTATGCAATATATTGTAGTTATCTGATACTTGCAATTATAAAAGTTATCTGTTTAACTGTTACATTATATTATTTTTA